CTAACATAAAAATTTGGTGAAAATTTCAAGTATTTACAGTGATTAGTTTTTGAATTACAACGATATAAAAAAATCGAATTGGTCGAAAACTGGTTTTGCGTAAAAATTCCCGTTTTTCTGTCATTTTTTTTTTTTTTTAGTTCGATCTTTTTGAAAACTTTTGGAAAATGTTACTTTTAACCTCTATAATGCATTAATGCAATAAGGATATTCACTTTTACATCAGAAACTACCCCCAAAGTTTGAAATTGAAGTATTATTTCGACTAGTTATACTGTACACAGACCTACCTACAAAAAAAAAAAAAACACACATCATTGTAAAATCAATACATTCATCACTCCGTTCAGAATCTATAAAAGGTAGTATACATTTATAAATATGTATAAATAATTATTCTTGGTTATTTAATATGTATTTTCATCCAAAACTGAAGTTTAAATAACTATAAATAAAACTATGTTTGTATAGATTTGTATTAGAATTTTTTTTTTTAGGTGAATTAACTACTTACGAAAAACTTTGTTTTATATTTTCAATCCTAAACTAGAAAGGTTAAGTGTTCTATAAATTTTTGATTTGATAAATTTGTCAAAATTTGAATTTTAAATGCTTATAAAAAAATATTTATTATGTATTTTTAATATATTTCAACTACCATTGTAACAATATATATTATAAGTCTTGTATTAAATTTGGATGCATTTATACCCAACGAATAAAACTGACAAACCGTCTCCACTCAGATTCGTTTTTCGTATACAATGATATTACATAATTTAATTTAAATTTAATATCATTCATTACAGTAACCGTCTTGTAACACACTGGCTACTGTACACCATAGATCGACATCGACATCCACTTACCTTTTTTATTGAACTGCGCGTAAAAAATATTGTTTTTACAATCTGAATATGGAATATGTATAAATAATTTCCATACCTGATAAATATATGTATCAATACTTTTTTTTAATGCTTAAATAATATAATTATACGTGCAGAGCTTCAAATATATCCATATATTAAACAAGTAAAAACGATGTCTTATTGTATAAGACTATATGCAATAAATACCATCAATAAGTTATAATATAATGGATAAAATGTGGGAGTTTATTGTGTATTCTGGACGAGGACGATTGTATGGAGTACAACTCAATTTCCTAAATATATTATTGTAATATATAGTACCTATATAAATTATAAATACTATAATTTTATTGGTATTGCTGTGGAATACTTGTATAGTGGATTTGAGGATTGTGTAATTTTCAGAGGGCGTGACAAAATAAATGTTCTGACAACGATCGGTTAAAATCACATATATTGGGCGAGGAAAAATTAAGTAATAATATATTAGTACTTATAGCTGTTTTTCCTACTAAAAAAAATTATTATTATTTATTACTGCAATATTATTAAACGTTAGAGGTTACAATGACTGCGAGCGTACTACGATGTTAAAAAGCGAAAAATTACTGTCGACTCTGCATAAATAGCGTCGTGGCTTGACCTATATTAATAATTATCCGCTAAAATATTCTCACCTGTTTATTCAATAATATTATATT